GCTTTTGGTGGTTTCTGATTAGTTCGTATTGCTGCTGCGGAACATCCTACAAGGATGTTTTTTCTGCAAAGCTGTGCATTTTATAGTTTTGAGAAATTTTGTCGAAGACAATGTTGTATGTACTGCCTATAATCGCATATCAGTCCCATATGGAAAAAGTAGGTATGAGAAAATGGCAGTCGAAGTTACGAAGGGAAATTCTCATGTAAATATTTGGAAAATCATAGTAAATTTATTGATATTGTTTTCAAGTTAAATCTGTCACAATGAAGTTTGCATGTTCTGTTATATCAGCGAAAAATTTGGCAATTCAAAAAGCAGAAATGTAACTTGAACTATGGGCGATTGAATTTCAGGATGCGTCTGATATGCCATTACTTTGCTTGATGGTACAAACTGACTTGATGTTGTTTTCATATTTTTCTTAATCAAAGTCCATAGTTTTATCACATAATATGAAAATAGATGCCAATTGATAGTGGATAGCGTTGTTATCTCAAAATTGACGAAAATCTATATGGGAGTGATATGCGATTATAGGCAGTGTATGACGAACAAAGTAGTGTTTTTGATGAGTTGTGCTGTGATAATAAATTCATAATTTCGTGTGAAATAGTGCCGTGTGCCGCGAAAGAATTATTCCAACGCGTGCCCGTTGTGTTTTTTTTTTTAACAGGCTAAGCAGGAGAACCGTTGCCCTAGCTACTAGTTCTCAATTATTTTTGCATTTTCTCCCCGGCGCACTATTGATTTTGTATAGTGAGCTGTATACGTCTGTTGCTAATAGAATTCGCGTTTAATTTGGCTTGGTGAAATGGATGTGAGTAATATCAGCAAGGAGTCTATAACTAGTGTAGCTCCGTGCAATGGAACGTGTTCGACTTCACTTGTGCGGCGCTCTCTATGACTGCGGCGAGGCTAATATCAGAGAGAAATTTTTTTTCAAACGTGATAGCTGTCTACTAGCTGACTGGCATACGAAACAACGTTGCTGTTCAGATGGACATCGCGTTTAAAAACGGGATGGAAGAAATTAAGCAAAATGTAAATTGTCTACTTGAAACATTTATTTGTGAGAAATTGGATACTATGAAAAGTTCATTTTTTTTAATTAATGCGGAAAAACAATTAGCTGTAACGAATGATCAGCACAATGCATTTAGGACGATTCAGTTTGACTCGATTCAAAAAACCAGACCCAAATAAACGTAAAATACAAAATAGTGATAACAATGATGATGTTTTTCCAGATAATGCGCCTTTCGCGGATGTTGTAAAAAGATCTAGTCGTGCTAGTGCAAGTAAAACAATCTGTAACAGTAACAAACCAATTATCGTAAGACTCGTCAGGTAATTGTGATTAACCTAAAGAGTCCAAACAAACTTGTGAAGACACTCTCAAGTTTTTTAAACTCAGTTGGATCCAAAATCACACAAAATCTGTAATTTTAGGTATGGTCAAGATGGCTCCATTATTGTTGAGTGTGCATCAGGAGGTAAGTGATGCAAAAAATGGTATTAAAAGCAATCTGGGTGAAAATTACATTTTTTTTTTCATTTTTACAAGAACTAAAACGACGCAGCAAAACAAAACACGTCATTTTTGTAACATCCGGAAAGTTTCAGGTCTTCTGCCCTCGACGCTAAAGTTGGGGTATTTCCTTTCCGGCTTCGAATCGACACCGCAGTCACGATCAAAGCGGCTGCCTATTTGGCAAAACCATCGGGTAACGAATGGATCTATCTCCTCGAGGACAGAAACAGAATCCTCCGTACAGCACCCAATACCAATAGCCAAGAGCCACCGACTGGGAGGAAAAAGTTGGCAATCGAGACCGTTAAACATCGAAAGCCGAATTAAGAACCAGTTTAGGGCAACTCGGAGACAACTCGGCGACGCTCAGACATTCCGTCACGGAGATGCTAAACTCCGGGTACCCCAGGCATACGTATCGATTTACGGACGGGTCCAAATCGAACAACGGATCTGGGATAGTCATTGCGGGAAATATCTCGCCAACGAGCTTGAGCCTACCACCACAATGCTCTGTTTTTTTTTCTGCAGAGACAGCGGCGATTTTAACAATCACACCATCCGACCGACCAGTCCTAATCCTCACTGATTCACACAGCGTAATTTCTGCTCTCCGGTCCAACATGCCCACTCATCCGTGGATTCAGGGGATCATCAGACGTATCGTATTGAAGAAGAAAAAACATAATTTTTGCAGCGCGATCTGCTTCGATATTGTCGATGTGGAAAGCAAGTCGTTTATCAAAAATGGAAATCCGTTATTCTCTGCTTTGGTTGTTTTTGATCTCAAGTATATAGGGTAAATTATGGCTTCGGCACCCATTGACTGTTTTCGGCAACCGAAATTGAAACGTTAATTTCGCAGTATTTTCCCATCAAAACTCTTCGCTGAATGTATTAAGCCGATTCCTTAACTTTTCAGCTTCAATCAGATTACATTTTTACAACTGTGCAATCCTGTTATGCCATATTTTTCTTTAAATTAAATATACACACTACAAAATACGGCTGATTTCGAGTTGCCGATAATAGAACAGCTGGTTAACACGCAGTTCAAATGGAAAGGGTGCCGAAGAAAAAGAGACTGCCGACAATAGTCACACTCACCTGAGAAGTTTGGAGCGTTGTAAAAACATGTTCAACCCGTTTTGATAAATTATGTCGATTGGAATGGGTAGAACAGCAAGCAGCAGATAAATGTCAACAAACAAACCTCTCATGTCTGTGTGTGACGCTGAGAAATCGCTAATAGAAGCTCGGACGCTGCTTAGACTGACGAGAATACGTAAATTCCCCTATTTTGAATCTGGAAGGGAGAAGCTGATAGCACACACGGAATTCATTGTATACTTGTTCGTCTTGTCATGAAAATTTGTGCCATTGAAATCAAATCAAAACAGGCGTAGCAAAATAGCGTGTTTTGCTTTAAGCGTGTAGTGATTGTTTGAGATGGTTCAGTGTGCAGTGAGAAACTTTGCTTTTCGGATTGGTATTTTATTATGCTACAAGATGCTTTGACAAAACCATGGTTAATAGTATCTTTCAATAAGGGAAATAGCTCTAATGTTGGCCTTAGATCTAAGATTGGCCCATCATTAAAAATCTGCTATCTATCAATTTTATCTAGATGAACGCGTCATTGCAACAGTACTAACGGATATTTTTGGTCGCTATTGAAAATTTAGTCGATTGCTGAATTTATGTATGGGCCCAACTTAGGGGCATTTAGGCCGACATTACATCCATTGCCCCTATCAGTGTTGGGAAAAATCAAATCTCACCAATTCACAAGATGACGCTTGATTTTCGTAGACAAAAATCAACAAGCATACAACTGTGGTTGATTTTGCAAGCTGTGATATCGTAGCTCGGAATATAAAGCTAACAAAACTCCCCAACTGCAAATCTCAACAAACTGTGGTGAGATTGAGTTTCATGATTTTTGCTTTACACCCGAACGCAATCGAAACGTTCATAACGGCTGGCAGCAGTCACTTCGTGTCTGTCATCGATGAAGATTAAAAAGAGATAGCAAGCTATACTTTCTCTTTTTAAGAAAACGATGTGCAACGGAATCATTTGTGTGTCGAGTCAACTCTCAACTTGATTTTTGCACGTTGTGAATAGTCTCGCAATATCAAAGGAGCTTGTAAAATCAGTATCAAGCATGATATTTTGTTCCAATATCACACGTGATATTAAGAGCGTGTGAGAGCGAAAAAATATCAATTGATTGATGATTTTGCCAACACTGGCCCTATTGTGTGTATTTTGAATGAATTAAGGAAACGGTGTCCTATTCAAATAGCTGGAAACAATAGTTTGTCATAAATTGCTTTACGCGAGATATCAATACCGCCTGGTGCATTCTTGTTGAACTGTAAGAAAAGCGTCATAAAACTGCTTGGCTCTCAATGACAGTTCGTGACAGCAGCCGTCTGGCTACCTTTGACGTTCCATTTTTTCTCTTCGTGACTCTCCCTCAGTTTAGAATTAAGGTGTTTCGTTGTGAGATCCTTATTGTAGTAATCACTTCGAAACTTCAAGTGCACAAATATTAGCTCCCAGGAGACGTACCACATTGAAACTTTTACTCCATGTTCGCTGCAGCATACATAAAGTAGCAATTTCAAGTTAAATGTGGCACTAATTTCTGAGATTTGTGTAATTGAAAATTCGAAGTGGACGTGCATGTATAGCCCTCGTGGCGGTCATTTTTGGACCCTACAAGGAATCACCTTAATTGAATCGAATCCTGAGCAAAATCTGAGAACAAATTGAAATCTAAACTTGATGTTGTGAGATCGCTGATAATGATTACACCGGTTGCTGTCGTTTTGGTCGTTTTTTTTTTAATATCAAAATTGAGAGCAAACAAATCTTCCTGTGACATCACATTGACAACTATTTCTGCTATCAGTGAGAGCAAACAGAAAATTCAATTTGATATAAATTTTTCCTATTGATAACAAAACAAGTATTAAATTTGATGTTATGCTAAAGCAATGAAAATAAACCCCCACAACAACATATTTTTGAAGCAAAAAATGTACAGCAAAATGAAAACAAAATTTGGTATCAAATTTGTCAATTGCGTAAACTGCAATCAAATTATTATTTCAGTTTGATGTTGATATCAAAACTAGATTTAAATTTGCTGTCATTATGATGCTGGACTTTGCTCGGGATGTTATTGGTTGAAGAAGTCGTTTGAGATGATTGTTGGGAAAATGCACAATGCTAAATACATATGTTAGAATTTTCCTAATTCATTAGGAAAGTTATTGTAAATTATCATTACAAATAAACAATCCATCAACAGTATGTCTAAAGAAAAGTAACGGGTACTTGACATCTAAACGTAACATTCCCTATGTATATTCTGAGCTGCTGCTGATACTACCTTCCCCTTCATATTTTCTCATTTACAGATTAAACACAATATGAGTATGCCACCTACCATCACCATAGTGATAGCCTCATAGTTCCCAGCAGAAACGACCCGAAGACCAAAGTTTAATCATTCTTATTTCACAAAAAGCCAACCACTGCGTGAATCATGTTGGACCTAGGGGGTAAAAGAGCACCGAACGTTGGCTCCACCGCCAGTGTCAACGGTAGCATACAGGACAGAGTGTACGGCAGTGTCATTTTTCAGGAATCTGCTGGTAATGTACGAGATTACACTGGCGCCGACGACTTTGCCCTACTACAGACCCTGTTCACCAACTTTAGCAACGAACTTGTCAACGTGTCAACCACGGAAGTTCCTTACACCCCATACATGCGGAGGCCGGAAACTTATATAGTACCGATTCTGTTTGCTGCTATATTCATCGTTGGCGTGCTGGGCAACGGAACGCTCATCATCGTTTTCCTGCGACATCGTGCCATGCGAAACGTGCCAAATACGTAAGTTTAGTTTACTTTTCTCTACTGCCATTGGGCGTGGATTAGGAGAATATTTAAAGTCCACCAAACTTGAATGCAGTAAGCCCCACAATGAAGGATGAAGCTTGTTCTTGTGAACACTCAAGGAACAGTTCGTATTAGTTTTTAGTTCAATGGGCATTCATTTACATTTGTTTACTGCAACAATTTATCTGAAAGCGGCTTTAGACTTTTCAATATGTGTGTGTGAGTGTATATTATGTATACATATAATTAAATTGAACTAAGATCAAATCAAATGAAATAAAATTGATTAAGCTGATGAGACAAAAGCCCTCACAAAAAATGAGTGGACCTAATAACATGTTCATTCATCATAATCATTACACTACTTTTCATGCCTATGAAACATCAAACAGGCCATACCACGGAATGGGCAGCAGAATATAACACTCAGAAAAATGCTCTACACAGATAAAAATTCTGAATTTGAATTGTGATGTAAACTTTCATTCACGTAAACTTGTATTTCATTTCACGCAACCGAGCAACTTGCAAACAATGTTGTTTACAAAGATGGGCTTTTATATACAATATTTGCTACATTGCATGAAATGTGTCAGATCTTTACATGATATATAATGTAAAAATAAATGATATGTGACGCTCCATTTATGTGCATCATATTGATCAGAAATTTACACTACTTTTTCGAACTGTGTAGATTTGAACTTCTACGCAGTACATTGAAATTTTAGTATTCATCTCGTATTGGAGCTTTTTGAAAAACAACATGTTCAATCGATCATAAATCATGCTTCTTCATTTTTTCGAAAGACAAAAAAGAGGAAAATAGTATCAAGTCATATTTTTTGTGAGATTAATGAAAGTTATACAAAAATACAATCTGTTTTATCCGGGAAGCATTACATCACATAGCCTTGAGTCATCTAAACCAACTGAAAATCCTCGAATTTAAATTCCACAAAACGGCGTAAACGCCACTCCGTTGAAGGAGGTAATCGAGGTGTTCTGAGTTCACGGATGTCCAACCTGATATTCGTATTCAAGGGCAAGTAATTACTTAGGTTTCCAAAAGTCTAGCAACGGTACAGAAAACCTAAAGGAAAAGCTCAAAATCAAATCTTTTTGACAAACTGGAAAAATCAGTACTGCAAATAACAAAACTCACCTCAATTTTAATGAATTACAAAACTAAATGTATATTTTATAAAATACCTTTAATTATTTGACAAAAACTAGGCCTACAGTTTAAAATAAGTTTAGCTTGTCATGCTGGATTTTGGAATTTACTTTAAAGCCAAGGTCCGGTTGCTTCAGCACATTCGCTATCCGAGGAGTATTTTCTCGGCGGCCCTTCGTGAAGTCTTTTGGACGCACTGCGACACAGAAACGGCTCAGCTATGAACAGAATTGGTACGAAAAACCCTTAGTCCACCTACCGGTGCAATTTCAACGGAACGGTCAACGGAGTATGCCAGAGAGTAAAGTAAGTGTTGTAGAACTTAAGGGGGTATTCCCAATCTTTTGCCTTTTTTCGGCCTGTTTTTCAATTAATTTTTTTTTCAAGGAAAATGAATAGTAATGCACCTAACTCTTTGGGATTCTTGTTTATTGAACATTAAAGTTTACAAATAAATTTTTTTCGACATAAAAAAGACATTATTGACGTCACAAAATGGCGGCAAATAGACCCCTGTTCGCCGCAAACGCCTGGACGGGCGAAGACTTTTCTCTGGAACGGCTTCATCTGAATCAGATTTCGTGATGAAATTAATAATCTGCATAAGATTCTCTGGAGCTTCTCCCGTTGGCAGCAAAAAATCTTGCAAATTAACAAAATGGCGGCCATATGAAAAAACAGGCGATTTTTAGCCCGCTTTTTTGCAGCTTTAAGGTGCTTCAAACAATGTTAAATGTTAATATTTTTGGCTGAAAGTGGGAGAAGCTCCAAAGAATTTAATAAGAAACAAAATGCGCAAAGACTCAAGTCAATATCTCTTATAGTTTCTGAGAAAAATCTTCGCCCGATAAAAAAAATGTGGTTTCGAGAAAAACGCGTTTAAAGTTTTGACTTTAGTTAAAACCATTTGGGGGTTCTTACCATTAGTCAGCTATGCCTGGACACCGAATTCGCTGATCGGAAAACGGCTTGGGGGGATGAAAGTATATAGTCTAAAGACAAAAAAACGTGAAAAAAAAATTTGATTTTTTGAAAAAAAAAGATCGGGAATACCCCCTTAATATCGATAAGCAAGTGACAACTACTTTAGTTGTTCAACTCAAAAATTACTTCCCACACGTAACCTCAAGGATGGGAATATTTTTTTCTACTTGGTGATGGTGTAAGTTTGCCTGGTAGTTGCGACAATTTGATGTTTGAAGTTATTGTTTACAAAAGCAGTTACGGCTATTTGAAAATTTGTTCTTGAACCAATTTGCCTCCAACTTGCACACTAATATACCTATTCATTTATTCTCTCACACCCCAACATGATTTGGATACCCCTGGAAAATTATATTGAGTGTCTTAAATTGTCAACACTCAGACATATTCCGAGTGCCCCTGCGATTGTCATCAGAATATGAAATGAAGCTATTTAATACTATACGAGAAAGGTACTGTTCACTGGTTGGTGGATTAATCATGCTATCAAAAACTATTAGTGCTATCTAAAACTTGTCAGATAAACCAGTCATAGCCATACATTCCTGTTGTGGTGCGTTCCTATTATATGGTATATGGAATATAACGTATCCAGTATTTTGCGTTTGATAATGGCTGCCAAGTCAGTTCTATTGAGTTCCCTTTGTTCATTCTTGACGTAGAAAATATTTACAGTTTTGTATATATGTAGGCTCTGCAATCAGCATAAAAGGTTAATACATGACTACCATGAAAGAAACATGTAAATAATTTCTCCGTCTTGAACGTCACATTCATGGCCACTCACGGCCGACATTAATGGTCGCAAAATACTCGCTAGCCATGTCTGCTAAATCTAAACTAGTTAAATGTAACTCGTACATTCAAATTGGTCTAGTCATCTCTAAAATAAGAGACAGAGTATTATTACAAATTTCGGCATTTCTATTAATATCTCTGAAACCAAATGTCCGATCAAGATAGAATACAACAGGTTACTACGGGAGTCAGATGAGAACAAAATTGAACCAATTAATCACAACGTAGGTGCAGTTTATAATGACATTTCCTTTCACTATGGATTTCAAAATGGCGTCAGACATTGATTTCCGGTCTCTACACGTCACTCCGATTCCAAAAATACCCATATTGTGGGGTATCTGGCAGAATGTCCAAGTTTTTCTGTAACCGGAAGCCGCCATCTTGGATTTTAAAATGGCGACAGACATCGATTTCCGGTCCCTACACGTCACTCCGATTCCAAAAATACCCATATTGCGGGGTATTTGGCAGAATTTCCAAGTTTTTCAGTAACCGGAAGCCGCCATCTTGGATTTCAAAATGGCGTCAGACAACGATTTCCGGTCTCTACACGTCACCCTGATTCCAAAAATACCCATATTGTGGGGTTATTTAACATTATTTTTCTGTTTTTATGTAACCGGAAGCCGCCATCTTGGATTTCAAAATGGCGTCAGACATTGATTTACGGTCTCTACACGTCACTCCGATTCCAAAAATACCCATATTGTGGGGTATCTGGCAAAATGTCCAAGTTTTTCTGTAACCGGAAGCCGCCATCTTGGATTTCAAAATGGCGACAGACATCGATTTCCGGTCCCTACACGTCACTCCGATTCCAAAAATACCCATATTGCGGGGTATTTGGCAGAATTTCCAAGTTTTTCAGTAACCGGAAGCCACCATCTTGGTTTTCAAAATGGCGTCAGACATCGATTTCCGGTCCCTACACATCACTCCGATTCCAAAAATACCCATATTGTGGGGTATTTGACAATATTTTGAAAAACCTCTTTTTACGAAGTAAATCCCAAATAACGAGTTTTCTTTTTACGAAGTAAATCCCAAATAACGAGTTTTCTTTTTACGAAGTAAATCCCAAATAACGAGGTTTTTTTTACGCACTAATTCGGTTTACGAACCCCCGTTTTGGTTCGTAAATGGAGGTTTCAGTGTATCACAAACTGACTCCACGATGTCTCTGGTAGAGCAAGACTAATATAAAAAAATCTGTTTTTTAGGGAGAGGAAAATTAGGTAACTTTGATAGTTTTTTAAAGGATATTTTTAATAAGTTTTACAACAGTTAATGTTTTTCAGATATTTTTTGTAACTAGTACTGAGGATCCTAGAATTAATTTGTTGGTAATATTTGTAGCGGAAACTATTGCCTTTGAACTATTTTTGTTTTGTCTTTTGACCGAACATCAGTTTTGTTGTGTTGGTGTTGCTTTGAATGTAGAAAAACATGCGTGAATCGCAAACAGTTTAGTTCAAGAAATATTATAAACTTTGAATGAGTATATAATCAGAAACATCGTTAGCAATAAAAAGAACAACATTGAATTTCCAGAGAACTTTCAGATTTGGGCGTAACTGCTTTTGAAAACAAACACGAAAATCGCCAATTTCTCGCGAATAAAAGCTCAATCTTGCAAACAAACTATACCAAACCATGTAGAAATCATTCTTCTACCTGTTTGTGGTGTTAGTTTTTCAAATTGAACATTAATTCACGAGAAATCGGCAATTGACCGGTTTGATTACAAAAGCTATTACGCTCTAATCTTAAAGTTCTCCGGATTTGTGATGGCCAAAGCGAAAATACAGTTAATAAGTGATTGTTCGAATACCTTTTCCAGGCAAAAAAACAAAACAATAGTTTCTCTCTGATCTTTAAAACATGTAAAACGTTCTATTTAAAAACTCTATACAATATGAAAGGCAAACCCCTTAGCTACAAAATGGAATCAATGTTTCCAATACGTAAATAGTGCAGAGAGTAAATTTAATCAATATATTCTACTACTACAAAAGTTGCTCACATTATCAAA